TATGGTTGTATTAGTAGTAGGGGATTAGGTATCTGGGGGTTGAGACAAAGGATCAGGAATAGGTGAAGGAGTAGTGTCTTGGGGTTCGATAGGGACAGTGGGGTCTGGGGAAGGATATTGTGATGAAAGAGATTCACGTGTATATCCAGGAGGGAGTGGGAGGGATAGTAGGGAAGGATGGGGGTTTTGGGGGAAGGTTTAGTTTGGGTGGTATGGGTGGTTTGGGTGGTTGAGAGGATGAGGTATTTTGGGAAGGGGTTGGGGGAATATAAGGGGGTAGAGCAACTGAGTGAATTGCAGTGTATCTGTGACTAGGGAAGGAGTAGGGACATTGATCAAGGAAAACAGAAGTGGCTGTTGGAGAAGTAGGAGGAGAAGAATCCAGGGGTTGAGAAAAGGAGACTAGGGAAGGTGATGAAGCACTAGGAAAAATGTTTGGAGAGGAGGGGTCTGGAGAAAGACACTGTTGTGATAGAGAGGATTCGTGTGAGTATTCAAGTGGTAGAGAGGGTGGCGTATGTTGGGAGGGTGTAGGAGGAAGGGGGGTGGAGGGAACTTGGGAAGGAGGATGAATATCTGCAAATACTTTAAATGTAGCAGGAGTTGGAACAGAGGGATTGGGGGGGTGGCTGAGGGAGCGGAGTGTTCCCTTGGGTCATCTTTAGGAAGTTTCAGATGTCTTCAAGGGTTTCTGGAAGGGAATCTGGTATAGAGGACTGAGAAACAAAGGTTCTCTTATAAGGAGGAGAAGAGGAGATGGATATCTGAGGAACAGATGAAGAGGAAGGTGTAGGAGAGAATGTAGTAGGAGAGTGTGGAGTGGAACATTTAGGTTGTCTGGTACGACAACTAAAGTGAGGAGGAGGGGTAGGTATCCGGGAAGTGGTAGAGATTGGAGTATCTGGATTTAGGATGGAAAATGGATGTGACTGGTGGATAAGGTGAGTAGACATAGGACATAGGTTTTGGGTATAGGGAAAAGATACCAGGGGAGATGCAGAAATATCTTGTGTAGATGGTGAGGGAGCAGAGCGCAGGACTGTTTTGGAATAAGTTGAGGGAAAAAAACCTCGTCGCCGTGCTTCCTGTCTGGCCTCTCGTAGAGTGAGGCCTAGTTTAAATCTGAGGACTGCTACCTCACATTCAAACTTATAGGCAGGGCAGCTCCTATAAAACACATTATGGGAGTCTCCACAATTGGCACATTTACGTGACTGAGCAGGGCAATTTGAACAGTCATGACCAGGTTGGGCACACAGAGGGCAGTGGGCTGTGGAGTGACAATGTTTGGCTGGCTGGCCAAAACGCCAAAATTTTTTATATTGACGAGGAAGGGGTTGATATTGTCGGACATGATAAGACAATCCACCAATTTAAACCTCATGGGGGAGGTCTTGTCTATGGAAGCTAATCTTGCCAATATTGACATGAGATTTACATTGGCCTCTAGGAGGAAGAGTGTAACACTGTACTGCCACTGCATCATATTCATCAAGGCAGGAAAGTAGGTCATTTTCACAGTTTGACCAGTCCTTGTTAACCATGGGACAAGCATTTAGGGGGAATAGAAACAGTTCCAGTACAAGTATTAAGAGATGGCTGTTGGAAAAGTAGGAGAAGAATCCGGGGAGAGAGGGAGGGTGTTAGATGTCACAGATTAGAGGGTGTTATAGGAAAGTATGGTAACAAAAAGGGGAAAAGAGGGAAGTAAATGAAGTAGAGCAGGGATTAATAAAATGGGAAAGGTTAAGGGGGTAGAACAATTGAGTGAATTGCATTGTATCTGTGACTGGGGAAGGAATAGGGACACTGTTCAAGGAAAACATCAATGGCTGTTGGAGAAGAAGAATCCAAGGGATGAGAAATGGGGATTGGGGAAGGTGGTCAAGTATCAGGAAGAATGTCTGGAGGGGAGGGGTCTGGAGAAAGACACTGTTGTGATGGAGGGGATTTGTGTGAGTATTCAAGTGGGAGCGGTAGAGAGGGTTGGGTATTATGGGAGGGTGTAGGAAGAAGGAGGGTGGAGGGAACTTGAGGAGTAGGATGGATATCTGTAAATACTTTAAATGTAGAAGGGGTAGGAACAGAGGGATTGGGGGGTGGATGAGGGAGCGGAGTGTTCCCTTGGGTCATCTTTAGGAAGTTTTGGATGTTTTCAAGGGTTTCTTCAGGAGAGTTGGGTGAAGAGGACTGAGAAACAAAGGTTCTCTTTAGAGGAGGAGAAAAGGAGACAGATATCTGAGGAGCAGAAGAAGAGGAAGGTGTAGGAGAGGATGTAGTAGGAGTGGATCGTGTAGGCTGCCTGTTGCAACGAATAAAGAGAGGAGGAGGGGTAGAGATTGGAGTATCTGGATTAAGATTGGAAAATGAATTTGACTGGGGGATAGGGTGAGTAGATGTAGGATGGTTCTGAGTATAGGGAATTAATACAGAAACATCTTGTGAAGATGGCGGGGGAGTAGAGCAAAGGACTGTTTTGGAATTAGTTGAGAGAGAAAAACCTCATCTTCATGCTTCTTGTCTGGCTTTGAGTGAGGCCTAGTTTGAATCTGAGGACTGCTACCTCACATTCAAGCTTATGGACAGGGTAGTTCCTATAAAATACAATATGGGAGTCTCCGCAATCAACACATGTATGTGACCGAGTAGGACAATTTGAACGGTCATGACCAGGTTGGGCACATAGAGAGCAGCAGGCTATGGAGCGACAATGTTTGATTTGGTATGTAGGTCGTTTTCACAGTCTGACCAGTCCTTGTTGTAAATAGGACACGCATTTGGGGGGGTAGAAACAGTTGCAGTACAAATATTAAGAGGGGTGACGTTCAGCAGGAATGGGTTTGCCAGTGAGGTCAGTTAGGGTAGATAGTGTACTTTAGATTCAGATGGAACTGTGACAAGGCATGAACAATTGGAGCGGCTGCAAAAGGTAACCTTGCCTACATGTTTATGGAGGCACTGCTGAAAGAGAAGGGTATTCTCAGAATAGGGGGCTGTGGGGGAATCACAAAGAATCAATCTGACTTGGCTGGGCCAAAGAGAGTACTCAGAAAATGCAGAGGTAAAGGCAGTAGAAGGACAAGGGCAACAGGAAGATGGGGTGGTGTGGAGTGGAGTAAATCTGTGGGGGAGGACAATAAGGATGCAGAGTAGAAATAAGGGAAGAGGGGATAGACATTGAAGAGGACTGTGCAATAGGAGATGGAGAGGAGAATGTTAGGAGAGGGGAAGGGGCACTTTTTGGAGGTTGAGTCATAACCTGGGTGGATGTTTTGGAATGGATAGATTTGTCAGTAAGTGTCAAGGAGTGGGTATTAGTATCAGTGGTCAGAGCCATGGTCAAAGGACGGGTAGGGGTCAGAAAACCATCAAAATCAAATTTAGATAGGCTAGTTGATGAAGGGGCAAGCCTTAATGCCCCTATTAAGGGTAAAGAATCTTCATTATTGGCCTGAATATAAAATGGGGAAAAGAAACGGTCTACCACTCAGGGTCCCCATACGGAGTAAGGCCTAGGCAATCAACCAAGGGAATACCGTGCCCATGGCTCCCAGAGGCTATTCATGACTGATACAGAGCCAGCCTTTCATCCTTTCAGCATGGCTTTCACACCTTAGGAATGGGATACACCTTAGAGGAAGGGGATAAAGAAGATACAGAAGAATAAAGGAGAGAAGAAAAGAGCAAAATTAATTGAGGCAAGGGCTGAGGCCCAAGGTAGAGGTGATCCCCTACACTGGGCCTCAATCTCTCTCTCCTAGGCCCTCCCATGACAGTGAGCAAGGTATTGGGAAGGTAACAATGATATAAATGAAACAGTTTACAAAGTGTCTGCACCCCTATGAGACTAAGTCCCTGTTTTTGACTTACTCCCCACATGGCATTTCTTGTGACCTATTTTCTCTTCGTAGATTACTTCATGTATCAGTGAGTGCCAGACTGGAAACCTTATTAAATACACAGGCAACTTTTTCACTGTAACCCCATTACCGATGGGCGTCCCATATATGAGACACCCGAAAAAATAAATATTGCCGGGCATTCCGCCAATATGACGCTGTATCAGGGCTCGTGCTCCGACGCAGCAGTGAGCCGCGGACGGCGGGTGGACAGACTCCGGGGAAGCTCTGCCCGCCAATTTTGTAGCCACCCGGAATATTTTATTTTTGGCTTCAAAATATAACGGCGTGAATGGGATTAACTTGTGCAGTTAAATTTTCAGTTTGTCCAAAAATACATGGTTCATTGTTGCATGACTCTTCTTTTGCATTATGTCATGATAGTAATGGATGATACATTATTTGTACATTGTGTCTATGCTATTTTAATGGGTTATCATTGATGGTATAACATGGTATGGTTCAATTTGATTGATAAATCTTTTAGGTCTGCAAATATTGACTGGCTTTGGCCAATCAATGCTGGGCGGTAAACAGGCACTTAAACAACTTTGTGCTGACAACAAGTATGAACGAGAGAACTGTGTGGTGCATGCAAGATACTGTGTGCATGCCACAAAGTTTCCAGTCTGAATTATGTGTAGTTTCTCCATTTATTTATGACAGTGCCATTTGATTTTACTGTAAATGCATACCAGTCTTATTTTCTGTTGTTCTCTCTATTACTGACAAAATTTACTATGTGCCATATACTTGTGGTGCAATCTGATTGAAATTAAGCTTCACTTTTGTTTCAATTATTTATTCTGGAGATGGACCTGCTGTGAACAAAATAATCAGCTTAGCCTACTGCTCCATATCTTCAGATCTCTGGCAAAGGCCATTGGCCATCCACCATGACTGGCCTGGTAAGACAGAACTGAAACTAGTTCATATACATTTTCAGACACTTTCATTGTGGACAAAAAGAAAAATATCTTGTTGAAAGATACTTACAATCAGCAATATGCACTACCAAAAGCTAACCAAAAGAAGAAAATTTGTTATACATATTGTTGAAACTTGACCCTTACCAATTCTTTACAGTATGGATACACTTAC